GAGTCTCACTCTGTCACCCAGACTTGAGTGCAGTGGCGCGATCTCGGCTCACTGCAACCTCTGCCTCCTGGGTTCAAGCGGTTCTCCTGCCTCAGCCTCCCAAGTAGCTGGGACTACAGGCACATGCCACCATGCTCAGCTAATTTTTAGTAGAGACGGAGTTTCACCATGTTAGCCAGGATGGTCTCAATCTCCAGATCTCTTGATCCGCCCGCCTCAGCCTCCCAAAGTGCTGGGATTACAGGCATTAGCCACCGTGCCCAGACCATCTTTTTCTTAATTCTATATATTTGTTACTGAAATATTTTTTCCTACTCAATTTTAACAAACTAATAAAATTCCAGTCACAGAGTACAATGAAATACATGTCAGGATCCAGGAGGGCTCTCAGATTTATGGACTAACTATGAATATTTCTAGTAGTCATTAGTGGTATCCTAAAAAGTTTGCAGAGAGGCACTGGGAGGCGAAGAGGAGAGGGAAGAGACCATAGTATGAGTGTTTTACTTCCTTTGTACTTAGTGAAATACGCTTCATATAAATCATCCTTTGGAGTTCATGAAATACCCTGAAAACTCTACTATCTGGAGAGACGTGCATGGTCAATTTTCTTTGCTCTGACATTCAGAACTGTGCCTTCCTGAGGTCAACAGCATACTAGGAGTGCGAAAAGGGAAATTTTAGAATATGGAACAACTTTGGGGAGAGAATTTCTAGATAGGGAGGATATGAAGGCAGCGGCGGCTCAAATGGCAGAGAGAAAAGTTACCAAGGTCAAGCGCCCCTACCCAGACACTTTCTATATAACAGACCTATGCAGATGCTGCAGCTAAGCCATCTGGACTAGTGCCCTGCAACTCCACATGGCCATACATTTTTAGTTGCTTTCAGGAAAAAAAAAAAAAAGCCTATTAATTCTAATATTAATATGAATTCCAATAACAGATTAAATGCACCCCCAGAAAAATACTGCAGCCAAGGTTCTACTTCTAAGAATTTCACTGCAGACATAATTCACACAGGTATACAAATATATATGTGTAAAAAAATGGACTAAGCATCATTAGACAGAAAAAAAAGTAATGACCTAAAATGTTCATCAATCAGGCAATGGTTTTAAAAAAAAAAAATAATGAAAAGTGCCACAGGGAGGAGGTTGGGATAGAAAATTGGACTACGTTTTTAGGCTATAGTCTTTCCACTTTTCTTATTTCACAATGAGTATTTATTCAAGTCTTACTTACATAACTAAGAACAGAAAAATCATACATTCTATTAATCTTTTAAAATTCAAATGGCAATCATGGCCCACAGTTCCATTGTAAGTCTCAAAGCCTGTTTAATCTATCATTGTACACAATCCATTTATATGAGAATCCGTGTGTCTTTCTCCTCCATTAGACTATAAATTCCTTAAGAGTCAAGACAAATAATAAGTCATCTTCCCCCATGCCCGGCACACAAATGCTCACTCAACGTATGCCAAGTGAATAAACGAAGAGACAAATTCCTATTTGATCTAAAGCTCTGCAGGTAACCACAGTTGGCTACAGTCATGATTACAAGTGCTCTGAGTTATGTCAGCCTGATCCACAGAAAGGAGAAAGATGGTTCTCAGAAACAGTATAAGTTTCAACATGTTCCACAATCCCTGAGAAGGTTCTAGGCTACCTACATCAAACCTATCCCTTTCCAAGATCACCCACAGAAGATTAAAACCAAAGACAGCAGTTGAGATGTCACAGTATTAAAAAGCCACACGCACAATTCAGCATTTCATGTCATGACACGAATTGGAAATAATATCACACATCTGGTGCCTGGGAGGGAAGGTCTGAGCTTGGTGAAACCAATCAAGTATGTCTTCCTTATATTCTTTAATTATGATAAGGAAACTGAAAACCAACATATTAAGGAAGATATTAAATACAGAATTTATATAAAACTCCCAAAGAAAACCTTCTCAGGTATCTTCATAGAAAACAAAGCTTGTTTCCATGAATATAACTCTTTTTTATAACAGGTTCTGTGTCTGTAATAGCTACATGCAATTCCCTATCAATACAATGTGATACCTCCACATTTCTGATGAACCCCCATCAACATTAAATTTTGTTTGTTAATGGGGCCTCTGTTTTGGCTTCTCAATGAGAAAGGGGCAGACATTCTGTGGGAAGTAAACATAATCATGTCTAGGTAAGGTATTACAGTCCTGTGCTGACACCTTACAGTACACAAATAACAAAAACATAACACATCTGCAGAACTTGACAATATTGAGTATTTATGCAGCTATTATTTCACTTAACCCACACCCTCTAAGGTAGGTTACACCTCCATTCCATCCTTCCCATCCCAGCTTCTATAATAAGAAGGGGACAGATACAAGTCTAGAACCCAATGTTCCTTCCACTTCATCACACTCCTGTCACCTTTTCAAGTAGGGTCAAGGTGAGACCACCAAGAAGACAAGAAAGGTTTATAAAAAAAAAAAAAAAAAAAAGCATTGCTACTATTAATACCAAAAGTCTACAGTCTGCCTATATATACAACTATCTGGTAAATTTCCTGTTATACCTACGACTGATAAAATATAAATAACATATTAAATACAATATATATATTTTTTTTGTTTTGTTTTTTGAGGCAGAGTCTCACTCTGTCACCCAGGCTACAGTGCAGTTGCACGATCTCAGCTCACTGAAACCTCAGCCTCCCAGGTTCAAGCAGTTCTCCTGCCTCAGCCTCCCAAGTAGCTGGGATTACAGGTGTGCCCCACCATGCCCGACTAATTTTTGTATTTTTAGTAGAAACAGAGTTTCACCATGTTCACCAGGCTGGTATTCAACTCCTGACCTCAAATGATCTGCCCACCTCAGCCTCCCAAAGTGCTGGGATTACAGGCTTGAGCCACCATGCCTGGCCTACATATTTAAATAAAATATATTAAATTTTACTCCTGTTAGTTTTACTGAATGGCAATTACATGTATCCAAAGAACATTCACTGAGCAACCACCAGGCACCATGCTAGAATCAGAGATATCACAGTGTATCTCCTGTCTTTACTCCTGTGGAATGGGAGAGAGAGGTCTCCACACAGTGGAAAAACAGAAATCCCTATTTCTGTGAAAACACCAAGTTATTACTGCACTAGACAGCAGATAAAGGGAAAAAAGAAAGAGCCTTTGTATAACATGTCACAGAACTTTTACTCAGAGAATGAGAAGGCTCAGGACTCAAACTTACAGGTGAAACTGCACCTCTAATGTAGATATCCTCCACTAGGCTTTTTTTTTTTACTCTAAAATATATTAACGAAGTTAAACAGAAACAGCTATTTATCAGTCACTTGAATTAGTAGTTCTCATACTTTTGATCATTCATACGCTACCCTCACAATTTTTACACTACATACAAAACTACTTTTTTACTTAATATTTTCTTACATAGAGGGTTTTTTTTATTTAAATACCTATTTTAGACTCTTTTTAAACACATACGGTGAGGCCAGCCACAGTGGCTGACGCCTGTAATCTCAGTGCTTTGGGAAGTCTAGGCCAGTGGATTGCTTGAGCTCATGAGCTTGAGACCAGCCTGGGCAACATGCTGAAACCCCATCTCTAATAAAAATACAAAAAATTAGCCAGGCGTCATGGTGCACGCCTGTAGTCCCAGCTACTAAGGAGGCTGAGGAGGGAGAATCACTTGAGCCCAGGAGGTGGAGGTTGCAGTGAGCCAAGATTGCACCACTGTCAGCCTGGGTGACAGAGAGAGACTCCGCCAAAAAGAAAAAGAAAAAGACTAGGGAAGGGGAGGGGAGGGGAGGGGAGAAGAGGGGAGAGGAGGGGAGGGGAGGCGAGGCAGGAAGGCAGGCACATATAGTGAAACCATGAGTTTGATGAGCTAGTTATGTTTTCTACTATGCATGAAAATAAAAGCATATGGGCAGGTGCAGTGGCTCACACCTGGAATCCCAGCACTTTGGGAGGCTGAGGTGGGAGAATCACTTGAGCCCAGGAGTTCTAGACCAGCCTGGGCAACATGGCAAAATCCCATCTCTACAAAAAATACAAAAAATTAGCCAGGCACAGTGGTGTGCACCTATAGTGCCAACTACTCAGGAGGCTGAGGTGGGAGGATCACCTGAGTCCAGGATGTCAGGGCTGCAGTGAGCCACGATTGTGCCACTGTACTTCAGCCTGGGTGACAGAGCAAGACTCTGTCACTCTGTCCCCCAAAAGAAGAAAACCATAGTGCTTAAAACGAAAACTGTTCACTAGAATACTTCAAAAATAACCCTGCATGTCCATACTTAGGAAACACTGAAATTTAACAAAACAAAAACAAACAAAAACACAGCAAACACTATATTAGCAGCTATTTATAAACGCTGTTACAATAATTTTATGGCATCATTATCATCGACATATTTGAATCCATCCCTCTTTCTACTTGTTAATTAATACGTGCTTAATTATCTAAAAAGTATTCATCATTTCCAGTGGCAATTCATCCATTCCAGTCTCCCTGGCTCTCTATAAATGATCTACGTATTATATTATGTATTAGTCTATATCTATGCATTAGCTAATGAGCTGAAGCAGTTATACAAATCTTCCTTATACCTACAGACTATAAATGGTTCTTTCCTTCAATCACTTGTCAAGATAAAGAAATCTAAAACATATAAAAAATACCAGAGACTATATTTAACTATGTTCTAACCAAACAGTATGTTTCTGTCCGGGCGTGGTGGCTCATGCCTGTAATCCCAGCACTTTAGGAGGCCAAGGTGGGCGGATCACCTGACGTCAGGAGTGAGACCAGCCTGACCAACAGGACAAAACCCTGCCTCTACTAAAAATACAAAAATTAGCCAGACATGGTGGCACATGCCTGTAGTGCCAGCTACTCAAGAGGCTGAGGCAGGAGAATCGCTGGAACCCAGGAGGCGGAGGTTGCAGTGAGCCAAAATCGTGCTGCTGCACTCCAGCTTGGGTAACAGAGTGAGACTCCATCTCAAAAAAAAAAAAAAAAGATTGTTTTTTAAATAGCATGTTTCTTCTGGTACAATTTAAAGTGAAAGTGAAAAGGCTCTGTTTTCTACATGATGCATTTCAACTCAGTGTGAGTTGATTTATTTTATGCCCAATTGTTAGAGAAAGAATTTAAATGGTTTTTCCAAGTATATAAGGTGCGTACAAAATTACACTATAAAAATTATTTTTAATAGCCCAGCTGTTTACCAAAGCAATTAGTTTTCTTAAGTCACTCCAGCAAATCACAAAGCCAGATGGGTCCCCAATTCAATTATCTTTAATCTTTCAACGAAGAATAATTGCTCTTTATCTACCTTGTCTCTGTAGTTCTCGGTCCAGAATTAACCATTTTGGCAGTGACATACGCTTGTTAGCAAAAGTAGATCCTACACACAGGTGAGAAAACACAGAATTAACTGTGAACACTTTCCTTCCTAGCAAGGTGAGCAGAACTCTGAACCATGACTTAACGAAAGACTGCCCAAGTCATTCACTGGGGTGGAACCCTATGGTGTTTATCACAAACATACTTCCCACCAACACGGTGGCTTTGCACTCCACTGGCCAGTGCTTTTTATATTGAAACGAGTCAAAGACCAGATCCAGCACAGTCACCGTAGTTCCACCAAGATTTAAGCGAGGCAAACCATTGTCCCTGCCATTCTATCCTAAAAGTGGTCATAAGAGGAACAGCAGAGAAAGCCACGGTACTTATCCAAGGTTGCAACACCTCTACTCTTCCACTGACCTCCAAATACATACCTAGGCAGCACAGCCTTCTCCATCAGGTGATCCCAGAGTACACAGAGTGTGGATATCAGACACACCCCAATGACAATGATGTAGAACATCCTCCAACGTGGTACAAGAAACTGTCTGATCATACAGTATACTCATAAATACATTTCTCTATCCTGAGAGAGAGACTGGTTTGTCTCACTTTCTATCTCTCCATTTATAATTTTTGGTCAGGTGCCAATGGCTCATGTCTATAATCCCAACACTTTGGGAGGCTGAGGCAGGAGGATTGCTTGAGTCCAGGAGTTTGAGACCAGCTTGGGCAACATAACAAGATCCCATTTCCGTATTTTTTTCAAAAAAGAAAAAACAGGCTGGGCATGGTAGCTCACGCCTATAATCCCAGCACTTTGGGAGGCCGACGTGGGTGGATGGCTTGAGGTCAAGAGTTCAAGACCAGCCTGGCCAACATGGTGAAACCTCATCTCTACTAAAAATACAAAAAATTAGCTGGGCGTGGTGGTGCACACCTGTAGTCCCAGCTACTCAGGAGACTGAGGCAGGAGAATCGCTTGAACTTGGGAGGTGGAGGTTGCAGTGGGCCGAGATTGTACCACTGCACTCCAGCCTGGGCGACACAGCAAGACTCCATCTCAAAAAAAAGAAAAAGGAAAACAATAAATAAATAAATTATATATATATAACAAATTTATATATAAATTTTATATAATATAAATATATATTTTTATATAAATATATATTTGATATAGATTTAATATATAAATAAATTTATGTATTTATATATAATAAATTTTATATATATATATATATTTTTTTTTTTTCCTTCACCATGTTGGCCAGGATGGTCTCGATCTCCTGACCTTGTGATCCGCCAGCCTTGGCCTCCCAAAGTGCTGGGATTACAGGCGTGAGCCACCGCGCCCAGCCAATGATATAATTTTTGACTGAACTAGTAAATTATGATGAAACTTACAGTATATCCCAAAGAGGTAGAGTGCATTAAGCCAGTAACTGCAAGTCCTTTAAAAAGCTGTCATACATATTTTAAGTTACCACACAGGTGTCATATATAATACTCTAGTATAAAGGGCCTTTGGCCCTTTGGGAGCCACAGACATTTTTTAATCTGATGAAAACTATGGATCCTTTCTTTCCTAAGAAGCATTCGCTAGTTACAGAAAAAGCAGCAACCTATTCTAAACAGGTTGTACATTCATTAGACTCTAAAGTCCAATCATGTACCCAGCTCAGGAACTCTTGCTTTAGTGGCTTGAGGAGACTAATACAAGGCTAAATCTCACATTTAGCCGGACGCAGTGGCTCACACCTGTAATCGCAGCACTTTGGGAGGCCGAGGTGGGCAGATCATTTGAGGTCAGGAGTTCGACATGAGCCTGACCAACATGGTGAAACCCCATCTCTACTAAAAATAAAAAAATTAGCCAGGAGAGGTGGCACATGCCTATAATCCTAGCTACTCAGGAGGCTGAAGCACAAGAATCGCTTGAACCCAGGAGGCGGAGGCTACAGTAAGCCAAGATCGCAGCACTGCACTCCAGCCTGGGCAAAAGAGTGAGACTCCGTTTCAAAAAAATAAAATAAAAATAAATCTCACATTTAAAAAGAAACACAATGAGTCTACTTGCACTCAGGTGTCTAAGCACCTGACCACATATAAATCAGAGGCAATTATAAAATATTTTAAAGAAAATCCAAATTTCTCTGGTGGTAGTGTATTCAAATTGCTTTCATCTAAATATGCTGAATGAAAGGGCCACTACCATCTGGTAGCAGCCAATCTTGAATTTAAGAAATGAGGAATGTGACCTGATGGGCCTGGGGAGGGTGAAGTCACAAGGTTTGAAGCTGTGTTTGCATAGTTCTGTAAATAAATATTCAGAACATGGAAATTGTTCATGTCAAATAAAGGGGGTGGGGTATTATGGAAGGGATAAAGCCCCAAAAGGGTCCCCCAACCTTGATCCGCCACTACCAGTTGGATCTTAAAAGTACTACACAGCTACATTTTTCCCATTAATGTGGACTGTGATGAAAAATTAAATTGGCTCATGAGCCGTATACAGAAGACTTCTAAAATCAACACTGAAGTGTTTCCCTTTCTCAGGATTTGGCTGTGAAGCGTGACCAACCAGCCAGCAGGAAGGGGAGGGATCTTGGAGCTGGCCCACAATCTGCAGACAGGAAAGGATGGCAGGGGAGGGGCGGAGAGGAGCAGGCTGTCTCAGCTCAGAAGCAGACGGAGGAGCTGCAGCTGAAGGCGGCAGGCGAAACATCCAACACATGTGGGAACCTTCGTGGTGATGCAGGCGACAGCAGGTACTAGAATTTCCAAGACACAGGAATAGTATCCAAATCGCACAGATGGAAGAAAGCAATGGGAAGTCTGGCAGCTTGGGAGTCAGGTAGGGAGAGTGTTCTAGCTCCGTACCCAACTCCAGAGGCAGAGCTGCAATCCCCAGAAAAAAGAAAGTTTGAGAGATAGGCACAGTTTCAGGAATCAAATAAAAAGCCCCATTCTAGACCAGGTACAGTGGCTCATGCCTGTAATCCCAGCACTTTGGGAGGCCAAGGCAGGATGATCACCTGAGGCCAAGAGTTGGAGACCAGCCTGGACAACACAGGGAGACCCTGTCTCTACAAACAAACAAAAAAAAAAAATTGAAAATTAACCAGGCATGATGGCACTCACCTGCAGTCCCAGCTACTTGGGAGGCTGAGGTGGGAGGATGGCCAGGAGTTCAAGGTTACAGTGAACTATGATTACACCACTGCACTATAGACTGGGCAATATAGTAAGACCCTTCTCTTTTTTTTAAGTCTCATTTTAGCTAAAAATTGGGGCAAAGAGCAGCAACAGGGACAAAGAGGAGCGCCAGAGCCAGGAATGACTGGCAACAAAAATAAGGAAAAATGCAAGAAATCTAGTGCCCAGCCCTGAGACCACAGATCTTCAGGATGGGGCACTGGTGGACCAGAAACGCCACCACGTGAGGAGGCTGCTTTAAATTCAACCATCCTAGTGTCTGCCTTGGTCACAAAATTAGAGTGGAGATAAGCAACGCAGACACCAGCCCTGGCCTCAGGGAGCTTTTTTAATTTTTTAATAAAATATAATCTCAAACGATCAAAGAAAAAGACAGAAAGTCTGACTGAAGAGCCCAAGCGTTAATTTCCACCATCTCTGAACAGCTTGAGCAAACATATGGAAGTGGGAAGCACAGAGCATGTGAAGGAAACTGTTTATTACAGTTGGGATAAAATAAAAGGTAAGTGTTGGAATGAAAGAATGATTTCCAGTGCTGGCCTAAGGATTTCATGGTGGCGGTGGGTAGAAAGGACATGTTAAGAATTGTGTCTTGGAAGATTAATTCACCAGAAGCCAAGGAAGAAAGACTTTCAGGAAGAAGGCATAATCCTCATCTCCAAATACTACTGATACTGAAAAATATAAAATTACTAATTAGAAGGCATCCTCTCTACCAGTTTCATTAGTGGAGATTATAGGGTGGACAGACAGGACAGGGGCAGAATCAATTCGAGAGATAGAACAGTACTCGGGATGCGCCTCCCATTGAAGAAGTTCTGTATAAAAAGAGACAAGAGATAGGTCCCTGAGTTCCCATCAGACGTATTGCTTTTATTGTTGTTGCTGCTGCTATTTTTAAAAATAGGTAGACCTGAGTCAACAGGTTAACGATGCAAAAATGAGAAGGCGCAATTGATAAAGAATGTTTAAAAGAACAGAATCATGAGCTCAGCTCATATCAAAATGCCTTTACGCTGGGCATGGTGACTCACACTTGTAATCCCAACACTTTGGGAGGCCAAGGCAGGTGCTTGAGCTCAGGAGTTCGAGACCAGCCTGGGGAACTTGGCGAAACCTCATCTCTACAAAAAAATACAAAAATTAGCCAGGCATGGTGGTACATGCCTGTAGTCCCAGCTGCTTGGGAGGCTGAGGTGGGAGGATTGCTTGAATCCAGGGGGTCAAGAATGCAGTGAGCCAAGATTGTGCCACTGCACTCCAGCTTGGGCAACAGCATAAGATCCTGTCTCCCCACCCCACCCCCAAAAAATGCCTTTACATCTTAAAAAAAAAATTCCACTTAGAATCTCTTTCTCCAACAAACAGTTTCTCCGTGTAAAATGTCTATAAATTATTCAACGTTGATAATGTGTCTGTTCCATTGTTCAATAACCAAGAAATACATATCATAGCTTTTTTAACTTTATCAAGTTAATAAATTTTGGTACAAACTGTGCTTTCTTTTAATGAAATGCAAAAAGCAGAGTAAGTGCAGAGGAAAGGGAAAGAATGGGTTTTAGAATTATCTAGACCTGGGTTTAAATTATATTTTTAAGAGCAATAAAACTACATTATCGCTTGAATACTTAGGTAAGCATAAGTACTTACATGCTAAGGGATTTACAAGACTTTCTCATCTGACCTTCACAAAGGCCTTCTGTTTTATTTTGTTTTGTTTTGTTTTGTTCTGTTTTGTTTTGTTTCGGAGACAGGGTCTCACTCTGTCACCCAGGCTGGAGTACAGTGACACCATCTCGGCTCACTGCAACCTCTGCCTCCCGAGTTCAAGCAATTCTCCTG